CTGTCTCTAGATAGAAACTAGTATATACACCTTTTTACAATCAATAATTATACTAAAATACCTTAGTTCTTGACATCATTTAAAGATAAACTATTTTCAAAAAAAATTTAATTTAGTGGGAAAGAATGTACAGATATTATGGCCAAGTAATAATAATAACAGAAAAAATTAATCTCTTCTTTAGTCTGTAAAGAAGATCGCAATTAGACGACCAAATACCCGAAGCGGCCTTTAGACTACACCCGAAATAAAAACGAATTTTTCCGCTCCCTACATACCTGACTTCCGGTCCAAAGGATGCAGGACCTGGCTCCCATTTCCATTTCCCCTGGCCACAAACTGCAGTCGAGGGAGAGACAAACTGCTATTATGGCACACGATAAAAAGTAAATGGCAGAGGAAGGAAAGAAAAGGACTGAAAAGGGGGGTGAAATAAAAAATCGGAAGCCGAAAGCGGGCGCATAAAAATTGCATTAAAATTGCCACGCGGACATCCGCAATGGACCCCGAACTCCATTTGGGGGGCAATTCCAGGTCGTCCTCCGAAACGGGCGGAAATGCAAAAGTAGACGGAAGTGCAAGTTGTGCAAGAAATTCTGCATCGAATTCTGGGGGGCGTGGCGCAAAATTAAATGTTTCCGGAAAGGGTGCCGAAATACAAGCCACCGACAGACCGAAATGGAACTCCAAACAATTTTATTGTCATTTGCCGGAGGACATTTTGACAGTTTATTGCATACACTTTTGCCCGCTGACCGCTTCCCCTCTCCCATCCCCCCTCTCCCACCATCCAATGACCCCAGAGTCATTTCTGGCAACAGAAAACCTCATTTCCCTCCAGTCCGTGTCTAATTTGGCACATCATTTAGCGGCGGCAAATCCCCGTTCAGCCTGACTTGGTCACTTGTCACCTCGACGTTGCCGCCTGACATCCATTAATCAATCAACTGGGTTGGTTTCTTTCGGCGGCATATTTTCCTGACTTTGTTCGGAGGACCCTCAAATACACACGCACGCTGCGACAATTAGCGCCGAGTTCCAGGCTTTATGCGCTTCTTTGAAGTTTTCTGTTAATGAGAGACAACTTTTGGTTTTTGGCTTGACTTTCTGGTGCTTTTTTAGGAACTCTTTCAACAGAGGTGGCGTTACTAAAGGGAGTGCTTAGATGCTGGGATATTTTATATTTTAACATACAACAATAGTTTTGTACATGACGGTATATAACTACAAGCTCAGTGGTTGTAAAGTGATTGCATTAAGAAAATATTTGCTATTGCGAAACATCAAAATACTTTCTAAAAATAGTTATCTTATCAAAGATAATTTTAAATCATGAATTCTCTTATTTAATCATACCAGCTTAAGTTGGTATCTTTTAAATTTTGTTTAATAATCAAGTCAAGGTCAATAAAAGTTGAAGTCGGGTAACAATAAATTAGCTTTTATCCCCGAAGATACTATAGCAGCAAAATAAAATAATTCAGAAACTCAATAATAGAAGTTAGTAATTTAAAACACCTGCTATTAACGAAAATCGAATTGAATTTATTTTTAAAAATTATATTATCTAACTTTAGTTAGGATTAATTCGAGATATAAAAGTTCCATGCAGTTCATGTCAAAGGAAAGTCTTTTAAATAAAGCATTTTACACTTAAATTAGAGGAGCAAACTTTTAAAATTTAGTATGAAAATAGCTTTAAGCACTCGATGAAAACTTAGAGCTGGGTGAATTTCGCAGCCTAAACTTTGGCCCACAAAGTAGTTTCCCTCGCACTGAACTCTGCACGCCTCTGACCCAAGTTGCCTCATCAACTCTCGCTTCATTAGCTGCACACTCCAAAGGCCAATGCCAAGAGGTGAAAACAAAAAAAAGCCCTACATACGTATATATTCGAGAAGAAGCTGCTACTACTTGCAGACAATAAAGCAGCGGGAAAAAGAAGCACTGGGGAGCAGAGCAGGTCAAAGTTACACAAAAGGAAAAACTTGAAAGGAGGCAGTAATGGCAACAAAAACCACAACAAGGAGCGACAGGAACTGCTGCTGGTTTTTCCACCCAAAGTCCCCCTCATCGCAGTTGTTGTTGCTTGTCCTGTTCCAGCCTGTGGCTGATTGATCTCGTGGGAAATTTTGCACAGTTGATGCAACCAACAGCAGCAGGGACAAAAGCAAAAAAAAGTACACAAAAAAAGTAGGAAAAAAAACACAAAATACGTAAAATAAAACGTAAGTTTTCCCCTACCCTATTGCCACTTCTTTTGTTTCAGTTCTTCCGTTTTGTTTTTCATCTCGTTTATTCTTTCGCTGGCGCACACGAAAATTAACTTAATGTCACTTACACTTTAGTGCTTTGGGTTAATTTGGTTAGATTATTGTTAATATCCTTTGGGGTGCTCTGAGCCCGACTGTTACTGGCTGTTAGAGCGTGTGGAAGTCCTGGCCAAGGAGTTTTCTCCCCCAACTGCGTGGCACATTAAGCGCTTAGACTGTTCTAAAATTTTACACATAAAAATGATGCATAGGCATCGGTTAAAAGTTTGTGGATTGTTTTTGGCAAGAGATTTGACAAACACATAAATATATATATCCTAAAGTTGGTGGCTACAATAATGTGATGAAAAATTAAAGTAGGTTGAAGTTTTTTCTTTATTCTAAAATAAAAAGATCGCAGAATTAAATATACTCATTTAATTATAATTTATTATTTGACTCAAACTTTAACTCGCCTTGTTAAAAAATGAAAAAGTGGTTACAACGAATAAACAAAAATGAACTAACCTTATTAAGCCCCAACATATTTTTCTTAAAGCCCATAAGCCTAAGCAGAATTAAGCATAAGGAAAATAAATTCAAACAATATTCATCGGCTTTTAGGCACGTGCAGGCGCTAAAAACTTTCCATGGGAAAAGATTCCCCTCCATATTCATAAGTCAATTGAAATTTATGACACGACACATGCCGTCCCACGGCGCAAATACTTTGTTTATCTCTAGAAAAATATTTATATATGTGGGGTCTAGCACCCACACCATTTTCAGACTTGGCATAATAATTTACAAAGCATTTTACGCTTCGCTTCGCCTGCCATCTGCATTAGCCGCAAAGTCAGTTTCGCTAGGTATTTCGGAGCGAAGGAATAAATATGTTTGTAAATAATGTAAAAATAAGTAGGAGGAACTGGTCTGCTTTTTACTGTTTTCAAGGGGACTCAGGTGGTTTTTTTAAAGGTGCAGCAGGAGCAGGGTAAATATGGAGTAAGATAAGATGCACACCTGACAAATGGAAATTGAGAACTGTCAAAACAATTAGGCACATGCGTCACATCTTTAACACACTGTGTGGTAAGAAGGCATTTAAAAAGGTTTTTTAATAAGAAGATATAATCTATTTTTTAAATGGGAAAGTTTTGTGAGTGAAGCTACAGAGGCCATTGCATTATAATTTAAAAAACGATTTTTAAGTCTGTAATTGACTGACTTAAAAATGCATTCTTTATTTCCTCGCGCAACAATAAAAAATCGCTTGTATTGTATATGCTTTTATGACAGCCCCAGGTTCGGAAGTCCCCCAGCATTTTTTTACAGCCTCGCACCCTGCTTCCTTGTTGGAAATTACGCTTTCATTTGTATGCAAGGATGCGGTGCCCTTCTATGCGATTCTCATAATTACATTAAGCATATTAAAGCTCACCCGCCGTCTGAGCCGGTACTCCCTCCACTTCTTTCCCTCCGCGGCGCACAATTCGCGGCTTTCCCTTTGCTCAGGGCCAACTAATAACGTGTCATAAAAGATTTTCCGTACTTTAAGTGGGTGGGAGTGACTGGGGTTTTGCGGCATAAAGCGAAACATATTGAAGCATCTTAAAACCTTACGAAAACCCACTGATAGGGGGCTTACACTAATTCCTTGACTTTGCACTAAGCGGTAAATGCATTATTCCTAATTAATGGCAATTAATTGAACCTCACCCACCATTTAGTTTGCATATGAGAATCATTTTTGTGTGAACCTGTGTGGAAATAGATATAAGATTATTAATAAATATTTAAGATTTTAATTTGCCTTTTAAGTAATTAAATTGATTAGTTGATTAATTATTTACTTTACACATTTTCACGATTTCTTAAGCTGTTTATACCTCATGGTTTTACAATAAGAATAATGACATATTAATTAAGCTCTGAACGCAATCAGTTTTATATTTTAGTAACGAAATACTTTTTGAAATCTAACTTAATATGTAATTTGGAATATGTAATTAATTTATATAAATATACAAATTCACAGTCTTTCTAATATATTCCTGTTCTCTTATCGTTTAAAATATAGCAAAGGCCAAATAAATTTACCTGCCTCATTTATGTTATTTATTGAAAAACTTATTGTTTATATGTCACTACAAGGTATGTTTTATGTTTAGCTATTATGGTTTAGTAATTAGGTACATAAAAGCAGTTTCTTTTTCCACATTCTGACATATTTTTACAGACTAGTCTCACAAAAAGATTTAAGTTTCGGCTAGACCAAAATATTTCCCCGTATTTTAACATTGTTGGGACTTACCACTGTTAACAGAATGAAATAAACAGTCAGAGCCACTAAATTTGTCCCACTTTTTAATGGTAATTATGTGATGTAATTATTAAAAATTGAACAAATAAATAGATGGTTGGGTATGGTAATTAGTATAACTAAATAACCAATTCTGTATTCCGGAAATGTTATAACAGAGTAGAATAATACCACTAAACGGGAGCATAAATAATTTCAAACAAATTTGGACCGTTAAATATCCCTGCGCTTCTTCTCTCCGAGGAACTTCGGCACCTTCGTTGAGTTGAGAGAAGAAGTCCTGGCAGAGAGAGAGAGAAGGCGAGAGAGAGAGAAAGAGAGTGTAAAATTCCGACTACCCACGAACGAATGTCCTTTCTGGGGCGATGCTGGCGACGATGACGAGAAAAATCAGCAGTTTCATTGATAACGCGCAACGAATTGGATCTCAGACAAACACCGGCCAGCTGCACTGTCCAAAAAGTCGTGAACGAGGCTGCAAAAGCATAGAAAAAAAACCCAAAATATCCAAGTAGAACAGGTTGTACGATGCTGTTTGGCCATTGCGGCGTATGAGTGATATTGTGGTGTAGGCGTATGAGTGATGCTCAGACTGAAGTAAATACTTATTCCTGGGAAAATCTCCTTCTCTTCTTTCGATACTTCTATACATTCAGCGCTCGTTCGGTTCATTCGTCGGTCGTTTTTCGCAGCGCGTGTGTTTAATTATATAGCCGCTTGCAGAGGATTAAGCCACTGGCAATAATAACAACGAGACCTGCAAATTAAATTAATTTCGTGCAATCTGCATGTTGGTCACAATTTTGTTTTCCCCTTGAATTAGTGTGAAACGATAGAGACAAGAATAAATACTCTCAGTAGGTCAACGATATGCCGACGAAACTAAATTTAAAATAAGTGAGTAAAACAATTGTTTTTTAATTTAATTTTTTAATATATAGGAAATTTTAAAGCATAACCATTTTTGTATAACACATAAGTTTTTCATGTACACCTTTAAAACAGCAGAGCTCTTTACAAATATTAACATCTATAAACATCCCTATTTACTGCATTTCAATTAAGCTCATATTAAAATTTAATTAAACTGGGAGCACCCACAAAATGGCCACTAATTAGTTTGGCCTGCCCTAGCCATTTGGCCCCCTAAGTCTGCCCGTGACCTTTGCACGGCGAAAAAATGAAAAACAAAACAAAATCCAGGCATTTCTTATGGTCTACATAAAAAAAAATACAGGCAAAATAAGGGAATCGACCCAATTAAACTTCGGGCCAAGAGGGCGGGACGAATCAGATTTTTGTTTTCTGGGTTTTCATTTTAAGCGCCGACATTTTCATTCCAACCTTTTCAGCAATTTTTTTTGCGACCCCTGCTGATTTATCTAAATACATTGGAGGGGGGACTGTAACACCTCCTCCTATCCATATTTTATTTTGTTTTCCAGCTTCGGAACAAAGTTCTTGGCCGATTCGAGAGGGGTTCGGGCCTTGTACAGTGGTCGCCTGTCGTCCAGTTGGCGTCACATAAATTTATATATATTTTCCACCAGCTTCCCGCCTCGGGGTCCGACAGTGACTTAATGAGCTGCGGAAGTTAATGTGCAACTTGGCTCAGACTTGTTTCCATTTTTGTTGGCAAATTTATTTGCATATTTGGGTTAATTCCGTTTTCCGTATTTTTTTTTTCTTTTGCCCATGACTAGCATTATTTTTAGCTCTCGCTTTTGCTGTTTTTCTGACCTACTTTTGTCCTAATTAACTTGTACCATTATTTGTCCATTTTAAGACATTCCAGTCGGATAGAAGATTTCAGATTACCACCCAAACTGAATGAATATCAATGCAATAGTGTTTCAAGTGTTTATTATTATATTTGAACTTTGTTTTATTATATTATTATTATTAATATTCCGGTGCGAGTATCCCAGAAGTAGTTTCGGTAGCAATATTCGTCCCAGTAAGTGTGCTTCGAGTATATGTGTAGATGGTTTCCATTTGTGTCGCCTTCATTGAATTGGTCTTACCAAGAGCCTTCTAAGAGCCATGTGTATAATGTGTTGTCGTTGTTAGAGAATTCTTTAGCACGGAGAGAGAGGATCTGCTGCAGAAGTAACTTTTATTAAAGAAGGCTAAAAGAGGCTAAAAGCATCAGGTTACTTACAATTCTTTTATTATTATTATGTGTTTTGTCCCAGACTGTAGAGCAAACAAATAACTTAATCCTAAATTGCTTGAGAAAAAGAAATGGACAGTTAGGATGTTGCAATTAAAAAGACCAAATGAAATACTTACCAATATTATTACCAAGTTATCCATTCGAAGAGGTGCGAAGAGTGTCGTGTTCTTGTGGTATTTCTGGTCACCTAGCCAAGCGTTATATGTATAGTTTTTTGCTTTAATTTTATGCTTAAAATATGATACACTTTATTCTTAAAACTAGCCGAAAAATTCAATTAAATATCAAAAAAAAAAACACTAAGAATTTGGAGCTTAAACCCGAAGGTGTTTCCTGTTTGGACTCCAGGAATAAACTGAATAATAGTAGCCGCATTCGCAGTCAGGTAGGAATTCGATTGACAGCAAAAAGCCTCTGCCTACTTGTTTTATTTTTTTTGAAACAAGTTGCGCCTGAGTGCTCCACTCCAGTCCCAACAGACCTTCCTGGAATCGAGTGTATCGAATGTATCCGAGAACTGTTGACTTTTGTGGCCACACAATGGACAAACCATGATTTGCCATATGAGAAAAAGAGAGGAATGTGTAAATACATATAATCAATAGCAAAGAAATTTTTTGTGCAAACACGTTCGTTGCTCCTTAGCCAATTTTCTTTTATTTCTACCGTGTTTTTCCCTTCAGTTGCCTTTCATATTATTGCGCTGGTATGGGAGGTGGGAAAAACTCTTTAATGGAAGTCAGCGACACAATCGACTGTCTAGCAAATCTTTTGGGAAAATCATTCTGCTCAACTCTGCGAAGCCCAAAAGTCTTGGCCCCCTGCTCGATCCCCATTTGTATGCTCAAGTTCATTAGCGTCAGTTGGCAAATATTTACCAGAGTTGGCAATTTGTGCTTCGCTTTTTGCTACGGCTTTTCTTTTTTGGCTGCAAGCAGCAAACATCATTAAATTTAATTTGCTGCCAATATTGAACTTACTTATGCTTGTGTATACGGAATAAATAAAAATAGAAACGAAGATAATCAGATACAAAAAGGTTCGAGGAACGTCTGGTTTACAAAGCTCCAAAATGAAGGTGAACGTTAAAGTTAAACTTTTTTTTATATAAAAAATAAATTAGAAAAATATTGATTTATACACGTGTTTTTTAAGCCACATCTTAAAGAACCAATTCTATATCAATATAACAAAGCAATAATTGTAAAAAACTGGACTAAAATTAACATAACCATATTTTTATTTAATTAAACAAAAATTATTTAAATTGCTCATATTTAATGGAATACTCTTAAGTTTGCACACATAGAAAATATACAAATTTAAGAATAGTTCTTTAAATATTTTGAAGGTAGGATATGTCTTCAGCAGTGGGACAAACACAGGGTTCCAGTTGGCCAAAAAACGATTCCAGGGTCTTCTGGGCATTGTAAAGTATTGGAACCAAATCATTATTCCTGAATATTCCTCTGGGTAGAATTGGCTCCCCATCTGGATGATGCCAGTTTTGCATGTCCTGAAAAATGCGCTTTAGGAAACTTTTCTTCTTGTTATTCTTCTCCTTTAAAATTCTCAAACCTGTTTCATTTTAAAGATATTAAGAGTTATTCGACCGTTTAAAAATGAGTACATTTAACTTACGATTTTCTTCTGCTGCGATGGCAGCTATTTTATCGAGCTTAATGTTTACTGCCATATCCAACTTTTGATGGCCGGCTAGGAATATGTGAATGAACTCGAAATGTTCGGGTTCCGTTGCATTTAAATTCATAACGGAATGGTTTCGAATGTTGCAAAAGCCGGTGTCATTAAAGCCGGAATATGGGACATCAGTGAAATCAGAAGCGATTTTGAAAGCCTGCCGCCCTTGAGCCACCATTGATAAGGACTTGTGCATTTTGTAGCTGGCCTGAGCATTGAAATAGCGAAATCCAAACGTTGACATCAGTTGCTCCAATGTTTTTAGACACACGCTAAAAAGAGACCATATTCAAGTAATAAGCTAGGTAAAATGAGCAGCTGGAATTATATGTAAGCCAGTATAGAAGAAGCTTAAGTCAAAAAAAAGTCTTAAAAATGTTGTTCTAATTGGTACCTAAATAAAGAGATCGTTTGATCAATTTGTAATTTTTGTAATTAAAAAAAATATTTTTTCAGCTTTACCTGAACACTTACCTCGACTCTTTAATCGTGTAAACGCCTGGCATCAGATCAGAATGCTTCGTAGAGTACAAATACTTGACCAGGGTGTGTATAAGGTCCTTTGCAAGGGCGTTCTGCAGTTTCTTAAGCATTGTTAGGTCGAAGATGTGTTTTCGCGACCACCAGCCGCGATATATGGTCTGGATTTTGGTGGCAGACCACTCATAATGGGCCAAAATGGTCGACTGCAGGACCTTTTCAGCCACATTGATCAGATTTCTCTGGGCCGCGAAACGTCGCCACCATTTCTGAATGACAATAGCCGACCTTTCAAGATTTCTAAGATGATGGCGCACCAGCCAACCACGAACGAAACGCTGAATTGTTCGAGCCGCCTTGAATTGCTTGTAGTCCAAAATAACGCTTTGACCACTATTAAGATGGTCAATTTCAGAGTCTTCATATCACCGCAAGTATTTGTTATTTCACTTACCGCGTTAAGTTAGTGGTTAGGCTGAAACGACTCTTTTGGTCACTGACTTCTTCCAAGTCCTCGATCTGATCATCATCCGGAAAGATCGAAGAACTAATGAGCTCCCTTGACCAAAGATGCAAATAAGTCAAATAAGTAGTTTTTCTGGGCAACAGATTCTTACCTTGAGGGAAAGTAAGACGCATTTCTTGTTGGCTTTGGCATTTTGAACTAGATAAATTAAAAGTGTCCAGATACAATTGTATTATTTAGCTGTGTTAGGCTAGACTGTCTGAATGTTACTGATGAAAAATGCCAGCAGTGGAAAGATTACGAAAAATTTAAAGTCAAGGCCAAGATGATGGAAATTTCACACCTAATAGTGTAATTAAGTTGCCGATTTATCTGAACTGTTTTTCTTGACCATTTAATGCCTATGGAAGAATAGGAATATTTAGGACTAGGCTGCGCAATACATTCCCCAGATCACACCCAAAAAAAGAAATGACTTTCGGCCGAAAATACACTTTATTAATTTTAAAATCCAAAATATTTCACTTGTTCTTATGTTCGCACTGATCAATTTGATTAAATTAAAATAAGCCACACCAAAATTTTTCGCTCCATGGTTGTACGATGAAGTGGATAACATTCGGCGCTCCATTCCAGTATTGCTAAGTATTTTGTTCACTCCTTAACGAAGGGACAGATGATTTCCACTATGGACGACAATTTGAACATTTTGATATTAAGCAAAACACGAAAATACTCACTCATTGATGAAGGGACAGGCAACAATGTAAATTACGATATGTAGACGATCCATGTTTTCCAAATACTATAGACGAAAATATTTTGAAATTTTTTAGACAAAACACGAAAATAGTCACCATAACTTATCATACAATTATTATTTATTAACTGTTTTTGTATTGGGTAAAGGTAAATACTCACTTATAAGCGAAGTTTATCAGATTATATCCCTGGTTCCAGACACTGTGGACAAAAATTTAAACATTTTGGAATTTTTCAAGCCCATTTTAACTAACCTACTGGCTCCATAACGCTGCAATATTCCCCGGTGCAACGTTCACTTTAAACTTAAGCCTAAATCCTTTTTTTTCATTTTTCAAAGTTTTTTGTGGAAAATATATGGTTTTTAAAAAAGATTATTTGTTTTCAACTTCTTCTGAGAACGAGTCGAGTGTAACTGAATTTTTGTAGAGCGAATCTTAGCCTAGAATTGACAAATATATTTTGATCTATACACAGCCAACTAGGTTCATTTTATTATTTTGTTTCTGGAAATAAACATTTAAAAAAAAAATTGTTTATGGAAAAGTTACAATTTAAATAATTCGAATGTCTTATTCGACTTTTTAAATATTTATGTTTGAAGGGTATTACATATATGACATTTCTACTAATACTTTATTCTTCTCTGTCGCCTTCAGCGAAGTACAGTGTTGTGAATTTAATTCATTTTTAATGTCAAGCCGACTCACTCGATATTCTCTTGAAAGCGCAACTTTGCCACTCCGTGCAATCATTTGCCAATGCACTCGAGGGGGTGAAGGAGCGGGGTTGTACCGAAAAAGGCGGAAATCAAAAGTTAAAATAAACTTCGTTGTCCTTGCCGACGTCGTCGGGGCTGTCCTTTTTTGGGGAGCTCCTTATAAAGTTCCAGGATATCCGGTTGTTGTCTTCGGTGCTCATTTTTCGTCCTTATGCGGCGCCCCCCTCGAGCACCCCTTCTTCCCCTTTGGTTGGGCTCCTTGACTCGTTTAATGTTTCATTTATTTGTTTTCTCGAGCCCAGGCACGAAAAAGGACTCGAGGAGTGGAGTGGTGCAGAGACTACGGGGAATGGCATTGTACTTGGGTCCGCTGTTTTCACTATTTGACGCTTGTTTACTCATTTCCGGTTGCCGCTTGCATTGTGCTTCGTCCGGAGGACATTGCCTCGCCTTGTGGGTCCTCTGTCGTCTGCGAAGACTGCAATACTTTGTAGCCTCCATTACGAAAATGGTTTAACGTTGGCTCGGAAGCCAGGAAGTCCTTTCATATTTAACAAAGCACACAGCGATACCCGCGAAATGAAAGTTATGCTGCAACATGTTGAGCGCTAAGGTAGCAGAGCAAAATCGACAGAAAGAAATATTTATTAGACTGTAAAATTTGAGTTTTTTGATTGCATAGAAGTTAAGATTTGCGAAAATACCTAATCCCGACTCAGTTTAATAGTTGAAAAATCTAAGTCTGGTCAACTTTAACTTAAATATAAGCTTTAAAAAATATTAGTAATCTTTTGAATAAGCTTTCTTTAAGATTATAATATTAAAATTTTTTAATTAGTTAATTTTAATCATACTGCATGTTATGCCAATTAAAATAAAAAATCTAAATAAGTGACAAGAAAACCAGCAATTTATCTCATACTTTTCCATCTCCATTGTCTGATTTTAGTTTATTAAACGAAATCGATGGCCGATTAAATTGTTCGCTTTAAATTGAATTGAAATGGAAATAATTCCAATCCAAATCCGCCCTCTGTGAAACTCAAGGCTAAACTTTAGTCCGCCCACTCGCCTGCGGCGTACAAATAAAAACTTTGTCGATGCGGTTTGCGCTTCTAATTTGCCCCAAGGCAAAGGCAATCAATCAATATTCATCAAAATGCTATTTAATTTGAATGCAACCGCCTTGCGACTTGACGCCGTCACGTCCTCGTCCTTCGTCCTTTCGTCCTTCGGCGCACTGCCACCACATCAGCACGCAACTTTCATTACTCGCCGAACTTGGCGACAACGCGAACTTTGAAGTGCAGCACGACGACGTTGAGGCAAAGCCTGCGAAAATGTGAAAAAGCAGGAGGATCTGGGCTAGAGTGCCACAGCGAACTAACAAACGTTGAGCAGCTCCACGTTTCAGCTCAAATTTCAATTTATCAGGCTGCTCAAGTTCCATCCTTGTCATCTGCGCCCAGGCACTTTGCAAATTCTTTGACTGCCTTGCGAACTGTAGGCCCGGGATGCTAATTGTGGCTGTCGAAAACTGCAACCGGCTCTCCGTTGAACCAAATTCCGCACGCATATCAATTGGCCAAGAGAAGACTCTTCGTTAACCTGATTTCGCAGAACAAACAAGGGTGGCAAATGTAGAGGTAAACATTTCCCAAACTGCATTTGTATGGCTCACACATATAACGAGGAAATAAAACATCAATTGCCAGCCCTTTTTTGGTAGCATACTTTATTGGTTCATTGATGAGCTAAAAGAAAAAAGGGTCAGACGGGTTCTGACTCCCAAATTGGCAGCTGTAAATTTGAAGTTTCACCAGACAAGCCAAATAGGTAGGATTACGTGTTTTGAACAGAGGCAAGCATAAAGGTGGAGAACTAAAGGGGGAGGTAGGGTGAAATAAATTCAATCAAATTTAAGGTAAGAAATGTGTAGAAGGAAATAAAAACCATGTAATAATTTAACATTTTTGAACCTTTTTCGGATAGAACATATTGTTAATGAAACTTTTTATATTTTACTAGTCGTAAAGGAATGTAATCTTTCGGATAATTATTTAAGAAATAAATCGCCAGCTTTAAAATATATTATTCTAAGCAATGTTACTTCCAAAAATTAGTCTTAAGAGTGAAATTATTTTATTACCCCGAAATTTATAAGTATAACATCTTAACAAAAGATTAAAGCCGAATGTTTTAATAAAATGCGTTTGGCATTACATGGGCTCCCAGACCAATATAAGTTTTATTGGCTGCACAGAAGTACTTGCACCACTATTAATTCCCTTCCCTTCTCTCCATGAAAGAGGGCAAAAAAATAATTTAAAAGACCACAAAAAGCATGTCCTTGTGTGGAAAGTTAAGACCACTTAATGCACGCCAAAAGCAGTTTACATGCGCATGTATTACTGTGCTTGCTGGCTATGTATAGTATGGCATAGTACAGTGGCTCATAAATACCCTCGCACATAGAGCCACTTACACACACACACACACATACACACACACCAGGACAAACAAGGACAACGACACATGTTTTGGGTTTTTGGCCTCTGAGCCTGCTTGAAGGCATCATTCAGAATCCCTGCTTGTGTATGCGGTGTTAATAATGCCTTTGATGTGTGTTAAAGACAGCTTCAGACTACAACAAGCCAAGTACATGGCCAACCAAAGCCAGTTTCGTGTCCATTGTTGTTCTTCTCGATCTGACTGCCGCAGATGCAGCAGAAGTCTGCAAAAATTTTGCCAAATGTAAACGGAATTTGTAAGCAAACCGGGTAAGAGAAGCCTTTTGCCAAAAGTCGGGCTAAGTGCTAAGTGCACTAGATGGAGGCATAATAAATTAATTTGTACTTGCCCTTGTATTAATAACTTCAGTTCATATCTGCTTGATTATCATTAATGGTTTTGCTTTCTCTGTTCTTTGTTAAAGGGAAACTTTACTGAATAGGATAAAGTCCTCTAATTTTAGTATTTTTTAGGGGTCAGGAACGGTATTAATAAATGATTAGATTAATACTTTTAGTGAAAGAAATCAAAGTACAGCAGTTCTACAATTAATGATATTTAATGTTTAGTAGGCAATATACAGAGAAATTGTTATATTTCAAAATAATATTTCATTATTAATAAGATAATTGATATACTGATAAGAATTGATGAGTACTTATATAGCCAAAAATGCTTGACTTGTTAAAGCTTCACCCAATCGCTTTAATTAATTGACAATCAGCCAAAAAGCTATCCTTACCTTAAACATTTTAAGGCTCAGAAAATCGGTAAATGACCCAGCGACCCTGGTAAGGTCATTAAATATTATAGATCTTCAACTATTCGCACATAAATAAAGCGGTACTCGCGTATTACGCATACGCGGCGTTGACCAATTTCTTTATGGCCAGTCCGTCTCAGTTGGTCAGGTGGGCAGTTGGTTTTAATGGTCTGTCGCCACTCTGCCTCCAACACTGGCCTCTTGCCGAGAGGAAAAGTAAGTCTATTAACGGCAATGACAAAGCACGCGAAACGCTAATAGAGAGACAGCCCCGGGAAAAGGAAAATAAGCCGCCAGGGGGTGGTTAAGTAGTTTGGCAAGTCTATAAAAATGTATTAACTGCCGCCGAGAAGGGGAGGCGAAAATAAAGTCATAAAGCGAAGTGGTAAGTGCGGGAAGTGAGGTGTGGCCCACCGAGTTCCAGACACAATGGCCGTAATATGATAATCATTGCGTTGGCCCACACGCTCGCTTTTAGGGGCGTGTGAAAAGTGGGTAAATGATGCAAAACAGATGGGAACCC